ATGACACAATAAACGTATTAAAGCAGACTACAAAGCTTTATTATTTAGAGTTACAAAAAAAAGATGAAGGAGGAAGGCAAGAAGAAAGATACAACAGGAGAAATAAAGAAAAGGATGGCATAGCAAGATACAGAGCTAAACGACATGACTAACCATGCCCAGAAAGTCAGAACCACTAAAAGGCCACAGATATTTCCTAGGACCTGAAGAGCTAGCCAAGAAAATTATACTGTTCATGGCTAGCTACTGGCTTGGGCCATAGACTTCAAAGTATTACCATCTTTTATCCTTGCCTTTGCATGGTTAATGCTCTGGTTAACCACTGTTCACAGCTCTTTAATTGTTCACTGAAACTTTTTGAGGCTTAGAGAAGGTCACAGGCCAGCAGTTCCCCCAGATGAGCTATGGTTTAGTAATTCAGTCATCTCCAAGTTTCTCCTCTAAAAAGGGAGCACATAAAATGCTCTCATAATGTGTTTAATAAAAGTCAGAGGACAAAACACTGCTTGAATTCAAAAACAATCCATGGAAATCTTTTCTTTAGTTTTGCATTAAAAAAATAAACTGGGACTCAGCAGAATTGGGCCCTACTTCATCATCACCACCAGCACAGCACACCTGACTTCCCACGTGTTCAAGTCCTGTATGCCCTATTGTAGCTATGGGCCTTGCCTGGCCCTGAACCAAGCAGCCTCTACACACTACACTCTGTAGTCTGATGGAAAACAGGAAGATTCTCCCAAGGAGATTCCAAATCAGCACAGAGAACTCTCAATCCACCATCACCCATCATACTTGGTGTGCTCCTTATTTTATTCCAAGAGCATAGAAATGTTCTGCTCTTTGCGGGGCATTGGTGGCTCATGTCTGTAATCCTAGCAACTGTGGAAGCTGAGATCTGAGGACAGCAATTCAAAGCCAGCCTGGACAGGAAAGTCTGTGAGATTCTTGTCTCCAATTAACCACCAGAAAACTGAAAGTGGTGCTTTGGCTCAAAGTGGTAGAGCACTAGCCTTGAGCAAAAGAGCTCAGGGATAATGCCTATACCCTGACTTCATGCCCCACAGGAAGAGGAGGAAGAGGAGGAAGAGGAGGAAGAGGAGGAAGAGGAGGAGGCAGAGGAGGGGGAGGAGGAGGGGGAGGAGGAGGGGGAGGAGGAAGAAGAAGAAGAGGAAGAGGAAGAAGAAGAAGAAGAAGAAGAAGAAGAAGAAGAAGAAGAAGAAGAAGAAGAAGAAGAAGAAGAAGAAATGTTCTGCTCTTTTGAAGATAACAGAGACTCCCTTTCAAGCTCCATCCCTTTCTCCTCTCCTACTTGGTTCTAGGTTATTTTTCCCTTCCCCATAGGATTTGTCTCAAACCTCCTATTTTCTCTTTTCTCTACAGATTAGAGTTCTGGAATCTCCAGCCTTCCCTTCCTCTGCTCCCTATATCTTTCTCACTTTTCTCCTCCCCATACTGGACTCCTCTCTCAGAGGAAAAGAGTGCTTAAGAAATATATCCAGAACACAGAGTCTATCCTTCAGAGTTGCTCCCCTAGCTCTGCATCTGCTGGCTGTGTGACCTCAGGCAAATGGCCAAACCTCTCAATGCCTCAAATTCTTCAGTGACAGGAACTCTATCGGTCAATCACAGAGGTCTCCTGTGATCTTAACATTGAAACATTCACCTGTATGATCATAAATAATACAGTAAGTGACACATATACTGGGAACAAATGAATTATAGAAACTGCCTTTCCTCAGCAACCTGTCATTCCACCTTCACATCCCGACCAATGGCTCTGAAGTCTGTGCCTCTCTGGGCCATCCAAGTTCTGAATTATTTACATACAGTCAAACCAACATATCAAACTAATCAAAGAAAAGGTAGCTCTGAATCTAACAGCAGACTAAATTCTAGAATGCTTCTTCTATGCCATTGTTTAATACTGTGAATTTAACATTACGTTAGCAAACAGGAAATAATGTAAAATAGCCATCACAACTTATGAATCAATGTATTTGTGAATCTAGTAGGAAGAATACTGTAGGGAACCCTAGAAAAACACCTGTGCTTTATTACAATGACACATGCTCACAAAGAGGAAGCCACCTAGCCCAAGGCACAGAGAAAGCTGGTGGTCAAGACCCAAACCAGCTGATGGGCCTCTGGTCCAGAGCTCTTCCACCCACATTTTTGAAAAAGGCAGGTTAGGGCTGGGAAGGTGGCTCAGTGGTAGAGCGCTTGCCTTGCATGCATGAGGCCCTGGGTTCGATTCCTCAGCACCACATAACAAAAAAGCCGGAAGTGGCACTGTGGCTCAAGTGGTAGAGCGCTAGCCTTGAGCTGAAGAGCTGAGGGACAGCGCCCAGGCCCAGAGTTCAGGCCCCACGACCGGACCCAAAAAAAAAAAGAAAGAAAAGAAAAAGGCAGGTTAATTAAGTCCTAAATTACCTGTGAGTGCCCTCTACAGCAAGTCAGCTTCAATGTCCAGGTAAGGCCCAAAGCTAAGTTGGGATGACCAAGTGATTACAAACACTGTAAATGCTTCTTTTTTCCCCCTAGGCCTTGACCTTTCTGTGCAAATAAAACCCACATTATTCCAGGTACTAGTATCTATAATCTATAATCCTAGCTACATCTATAATCCTAGCTACTCAGGAGTCTGAGATCTGAGGATCTGATTTCACAGACAGTACGGGCAGGAAAGTCTACAAGACACTTAACTCCAATTAATTAGTAAAAAACTGGAAGAAGAGCTGTGACTCGAATGGTAGAGCACCAGCCTTGAGCAGTAAAGGAAAGCATGAGGTCCTGAGTTCAAGCCCAAGTATTGGCACGCACATGCGTGCGCACACACATACACACACACACAACCACCATTCTGCTGTTTTGAACTTGGTTTTGGAGAGGGGAAATAAAGAAGTAGCTTCTCATCCTTTCCCATAATTCTATCCCCCCCTCCCCACCAATGTCCCCATCACCTAGAAAGTTTACAGAAACTCTCTAACTACAACAAATGAAAGCAGGTAAGAAGAGGGAAAGGGGAAAGAGGAAAAGGTGTTGTATGTATGCAATACCACAATGACCTCCCATCTCTTCATCCCACAGGGTAGAAAGCACTTCATCTCAGCTGCTAATTCCCAACAGGGAGTCACCAGAGCCAGGTGTCATAGGTCCTTCAACTGAGAAATGTGCTTTCTCTGCAATCCAAGGAGATCTAATCCTTTCCTAACCATCTACTCTAGAAGTGCTCAGGACACAGGTGCCAGCAAGGCCAATCCTTCCCTCCTTTCCCTTTAAGCTATGAGGGAGACCTCAAGGCTGGGTTATTTCAGACAGCATAAGGAGGATGGGGGAGAAAATTGCTGGCAGCGTCTTCCTTCTCTACCCCTCCCCCTTCACAGCCAACATATTCATATCTTACTCCATAGACAGCAATCCACCTCATCTAATTCCCTAATGGTTGAAGCTATGGAGTCTCCCAATGTCCAACGTGTGTTTTCTGCCATATTTTTGTCATCCACACTGCTCTTCCCTCCGTTGCCCCTCCCCATTTTAACCCACCCTTCATCACCACCAAGCTACCTTTCCAATTTAAAAAAAAAAAATCAGTGAATCTAAATAGAGGGGCTCCAAAAACATAGGAAGAATGGAGACAAGCATGCCGGCCTTCACTTAAGAAAAGATAAAGGGCACCCAAGTGAGGGGTGGATAGGGAGATGTAGCCAGAGGCCTGGCATACCAGGTAGGTTCCATGATGTCGCTAAATGAACTGACAGTGAAATCAATTCGAGCAATTTCAGGAGGTCGGCCTTATGACACCGGGAGAATCCCAGCGCTCAGTGTTTTAAATTTAAAAAAAAAAAATCCAAAGGCTCAGCCAGAACGTGCTGGGGAAACCCGGGGACTGTATAAAACGAGCCTGGCTCCGAGAAATTCCTTGTGCTTTTTTTTATGTAGCCATGGAATGGCTTAATAGATTCTGTCTATCCCAAGAAAGCACGCACGGATGAATGTCAAAGCCATCTTACGACAGCGGAGGCCCGGGGATGCAAAATCTGAGGGCACGTTCCTCCATGAAAGAAACGGACTGATTCGAAGCCTCTTCTCCCCTCTACCTGGAACGTGCCACCGCCACGTCGGAAAGCAGCAGCCTGGCAGGAGCCGGGGATGCCCGGGGAATTGGGAAGAAGGAGTTGCTTTCCATCGCTCTCGGGGGCGAGCCGCCTGGCAGAGATGCTGTCAGCCCCTCGGGGAAGACGAAGGAGGCCGGGCGGGACGGGCAGGCACGGGG